GGGTGAGTGAGCGAGCGAGCGTGGCCGCTGCAAACAGTGAACCCACGTGCTGGCTGGAGCTCCGGCTCTGCCCACTGGGGCTTTCAGAATGAGTTTCAGGATGGAAAGGGTAGGTCAGGTCAGACCCTCTCTGCAGTGGGTTTCTCAGCCCTGGTGGCTTTGACTGCGCTGGAAAGGCGGCTTTTAATCCTTCCAGCCCCTGATGGGGAGAGAAAAACAAAGCAGGCACTGGGCGGGCGTTGAGGCTTTTCCTTCAGACCCTGGAAGTTGCTTCTGGGGTGTGGGGAGGAGCCGCACACCTCCCCCCTGGAGATGTCAGGCCCAGCAGATGGAGAGAGCTGTAGGGGGAAGGGAATCCGTCGGGGGGAATCTGCTCCCCAGACAGGGAACTTAGCAAAAGAAACTGGATTCGGGTCCAAAATTGCCCTGACCGCAGAGAGTGGGGTTCTGCTGGCGGCGGCAGGAGGGGGGAACTCGGTTTGGGGAGCTAGCAGGGGGACAGGGTGGCGTTTTAAAAGCCAGTCACGTGCAGAAACCCACCAGGAGGTTGGTCTGGCCTCGTAGCTCAGTTTCTCTTGTTCCCTCGTAAGAAAGTCTTATAAGTTAGCAGTTGAAACGTGGAAGGTAGGTAAACAGACTGGGAATGTTCTGGAAGGAATCACTTTTTATATCAGTATTATTTTATTATTATGATTTCCTTTTTCTGATGTTTTTTGTTTTGTTTCGAATTACTGGCTTGATTTATGTTTTATTTTCCAGTTCGTTCCTTTTTGGTTTGGTTTGACATACTTTGTTTAATTTGCGTGGCTAGCCATGGCCGGGGATCAGCACCCTCTGCAGTGGGATTTCGGAGGACGAGGGTTTCATTCTACCTTTTTAAATGCAGCAATAAAGCATGAAAGTAGGAGGACAGCACCCAAAATGTCCTACTGGACAGAGTGCTCAGCACAGCAGCGTGAGGTCTATCTTTACCCTTTCTGCAAAATGCACTTTTTTGTGTTCGTGCAAAGCAGGCGGCTCTCACTCCGGTGCAAAATGGGCAAAGCCGGACTTGGTTTAGCAGAGCCATCATGGCAAGTTGAGCCCTAAACAGCTGGTTGTGACTCAGGAATGGGAGCAGCAGGTTTGAAAAAAATCGTTCCTCAGTACAAGAGCTTTTTTTGTTGGTGAAAAAACAACAGAGGAATGAGAAATAGTGACATTTCTCTATTTATCTACTCCTGCGCCTCTTGCCGGTGATGCTGTGGGGGGCTGGTGAGGACCCCAGTTCCTGGCAGTGTCTGCAGAGAGTTCAGAGCTGTTGGCTGCAGTTTGACTGTACGGGGTGAGGTGAGGTTTGCCTTGAACATGTATCGCTCTGCTTGCCTGAGCTGGTGGGTTGTTGTCAGTGATAGGACAACGTCTGCTCCGAGATTTCCCCAAGTGACCTGTCACAGCCGGGCTACAGAAGTGTCAGAGACTCTTTGCCTCCGGCCAGGTCTCAGACCCATCACCAAACCCACATTTCTTGCCGTTCTCGCCCTGGCCGAGGGCACGGCCACGGTGTGCGCCCCGGCACGTAGCGTCTGACGGAGCAGGTGCCGGCGTCCTGCTGCCTACGGCGCAGACGACGCTAAAAATTACCTTCCGCAGCTCAGGCAGCACCAAGTGAGCAGCCCTGCGCTGGAAAGCTGTGGCTTACACCTTCCCCAGCCACTGAAAATCCGCCCGAAGACAGCTGACTGCTGCCCCCGTGAGAACACGCTTCCAAAGGCGTCCTCCTGGGGCTGCCAGGAATAGCTTGACGTGCCTTAGGTGGGGATTGCAACAGGAGCGGGACCTGCCGCCACCTCGGCGAGACCCGCCGCGTGCCCGAATCCCTTGGGCAACCCGCTGCCTCCCTCCTTTGCAAGTCTTTTCTCTAAAACCCTCCTACCCAGACACCTCGCGGGCTCATTGCTCGGCGGTGTCCTGGGCGTTCCCACCGTGGGTTTTCACCTCCTCCAGTCTGTGGCCAACTAATAACTTCCATCTGGAGGTACAGGCTCTCAAGTGTAAGCTTCCTGGCGGAAGATTGGCTTTTCTTGCTTACTTCCCAAAGAAATTCAAGGTCCCAGAGGCTGCAGTTTGGAAACAAGTGCTTTCCCAGCCAGGGCAGGGTTTGCCAGAGGGCCGTAAGACAGGGAGCTGAAGGAAAGGTCTTTTTCAGGGGAACGCTGGGCGCTTAGTTTTGTGCCAGCTACGCTTTGTAGAAGCAGCAGGACCCCTCTTGGCTAGCCCGCTTGCTGTTTTAGTCCTTTGCTTTGTAACATTTCCATTTTGATGCCCCATTGCGTTTCCGTTGGCTTTTTTTTTCTTTTCATCCAAAAAAAAAAAAAAAGACAACAACAAAAAAGCTCTCTTCTCTTTTAATTTTATCTTCCTAAACCAAATTTTTGTACGTTTTATTTTAGATTTTTTTGTTATCATTTTTTCCTTTTTTTTTTCTTTTTTATCTTTCCCATCTTTTGTTTTTTTTCCCCCCTCCCCTTCTTCCC